GTTTTACTTTGGCTTACATTTTTAGACATTATTTTCACATACTTTGTATCAGAATTTGTTAGAATTATATTTAATGCCTCTGCAGCCATTTGATTGTACCTCTTTCCAAGAACTTCGCAAATAGATGTGGACTTTAGTTACATTTCGACCAGATGACCTATTTAAGATGAGAACTGAATGATTAATGCATGGATTAAGTTATTTGGTATTATTCACAAAGAATCCAGTGGTGTTGACAGTTTCTTCTTAGGTTAAATAAAAAACAAATAATTTTCTTACAACTTCTTTATTATGAAACATATTTTAACGAAATTGAGTATCAAACCAATACAACATATCACGCGAATCGAGTGGGGGTAGTTAGATTAAAAAAAAATAGCTGATTATAATAGCAAAATTATTTTGCTTCTTTCGACAGTAAAAAATAATCAAAGCATGCCTTGAAAATGTAGCTTAATTATTGAAGATTTGTGAGATGGTAAATTTTTTTACCCTCATTGATCCTGAAAAAAAAATGGTACCAATCATCCGTCAAATTTGAGTTATACAGGGATGCTTCCATCTTAAATGGACCACACTGTATAACTCAACATTACCAAACTTGTACCCTTTTATCTTTCGACCACAGTAATATTGAATATTGTTGAAGCCTCCTTCTTCGTCTTACGTAAGCACTGCTATGATTTGTAGAATAGTTATCAAGGTCGCAACTTAATTAAAGTAGCCACATTATTTTGTAAAGGGTGTTCGTAAATGTCATGTCAATATTGTAGGGCATTTTATGAGTAAAATTTTATCTTAAAAATATGTGCCATCCCACTATCAAAGATTGCCAAGATGAGACAGTCCTTCTATACGATGCTGCAAAAGTGGCTTTAACGAAAATTGAGAGAACTGGAAGGGGTAGGAGAAATGCGTTTGTGCCAGTGAGAATCTGAATAAAATGACTCCAAATCTACAAATTCGACTGTCATTAGTCCAATTCATAGAGGAGCAGAGGGATAACCCAGAGATATTAGGTTCGATCCCTGGCAGATGCACTTATTTTTTATTTTATTTATCTGCTCTTAAAATTTTTGATTGGTTTGTCTTCACCTTAGGGAAGTGGGAATGAATTTTTCAATTTCGTAGGAGGAATTGGGGATTATAATTCACATCTAAACCAATTCTCTTTTTTTTGTAAATAAACAAATATTAAATAATTTTATTTTGAGACAATACGTAATTCTAGCCCGATATATTTGGCGATATTTTTTACACATAAAGCACAACAACGTTCTCGCAAAAAAATGATATTTGTCTTTCAAGCAAGTGAAACAACACTACTGTCTATGAATGAGGTTTACTTTACATTTTTAACAGACTTCTAAAAAAGGAGGAGGTTCTCAATTCGTCGGTATATATTTTGTTTTATGTATGTATGTTTAGCGATAATTCTTTAACACGGTGTCCGATTTCAATTATTCTTTTTTTGTTAGAAATGGGGTACCTGAGGGGTGGTCCCATATAAATTTGGTCGAAATATAATAATTGGGTCAATGAGAAAATCCTCAAACTCTTCATTTTTATGTATGTTTAGCGATAGTTCTTTATTACCTTGTCCGATTTTTATGATTCTTTTTTGGTAGTAAGGGGGGACTTCAGGGGTGGTCTCATATAAATTTGATCAAAATCTAATAATTGGGTCCATGGAGAAAATTCTCAAACTCTTCATTTTTACTTTCCTATCTGTATACATTATGTGTGTGTGCGTGTGCGCGCGTGTGTGTGTGTGTGTGTGTGTGTGTGTGTGTGTGTGCGTGCGTGCGTGCGTTTGTGTGTGTCTACACGATTTTGCAGTCGGTTTTTTAAAATTACTTTTGTAAACAAAATTAAGTGATTCGAATGATATTTAATACATTTCGATAAAACAAATTCTCGCTAAAACAGGAATTTCAATAAGTATTTTTAAAAATAATTAGGCGTTTTGATTTAATTTTTTTTTTCAATTTTTCCCAAATTTGTCTGTTTCGCATTAATTGTGGTTTAATTAGGTTTCCAGTTTTTTTTTAACAAATTTGCCAGATGTTTTAAACTTATTTAGCAACTAAATCAACGGTATTTAAATAATAATTTTGCAGTAAAATAGGATTTTTAATACTTTTAGCTTTCTAATATTTTTAAGAATTACGTGATTTGAATATTTAAAACATTTGGAGTGTAGCGCTATCTCTCTCGATTTTAGTTTCCCGCTCTGGCTCTTGTTATTCCTAATAGCGTTTTCGATTCCACTACTCTGCCTGCGTGAAGTGCACATAAAAGATGAGTGATATATACCGGTTACTTTTTAAAGTGAAAAGTAACTGGTATCGACATATCTCCCACCTTTCGTATGCTCTCAGTGAAAATCGAGCACTGGAATCGAAAACGCTATAACTTTTTGCCACTGCCATGATATACAGGATGAACATTAGGTAAATGACCAAAATTTAAGGTGCTATTCCTCAATTTTAAGACAAAAAGTTTATATAAAGGTTTTATTTTAAAAGTTGATATTTGGGTATAAAAGAGGAGTCTTTACTGGATTAACCAGTGAGATTTAATAAAAAATAAATAAAGCCATCAAGGACCTACGTTTATATTAACATTTTGTCTTAGAGTAAGGAATGGCCTCGTCTAGTAACTAGGGACAGGTGAGTGACGTGACAGAATGAAAAATCGAGGTGACAAAATATTCTGCTGCAGTTTGTATATCAGTTATTTAAAAAAAAATTTATTTTAATAATAATTAGCGGTTTTTATATTTTTATTTATCAACTTTTTTCTAGTGTTAAAGTTTTTATAATATCGGAGTTTGATTTTTTAAACGATAAGCTACAAAACAGCTAGGAAAAAACATGTAATAATTTCCATAAAATTTCAGATGAATTATAGGCATCGCAACCTAATTTGTCTGAAGAGGGGATGCGCGTTAATCTCGAATTTCAATTGTCAACGCCTACTTTAACTGTTAAAGAGAGATGCAAACAATAGCCGTGTTGTCGGGGATGATCAGTAGATGATAATATTTTCTTAAATTTGTTTGTGTAGCGTGCATATCTTGAGTTATATTTTATTTTTATTTGTTGTAGGTGTTTTCTTTTGAGTGGTGACTTACTTGTGTTAAAATGCCGAAACATTTAGGTAGTCAAGAAAAGGAAATAATATTTCATCTATATGAATTTTATGAAAAAAAAAAAATGTTCCTCGGCAACAAATAGTTCTGAAAAAAACAACGATGATAGTAAAACTTATAGACAATGTGTTGTGAACGATGATCTCAAAACTGAAATTAAAGAACAAGTTGCTGAAGCTACAGGATACTCGGCAAAAACAATTGAACGAATAATTATAGAAGGTGAGATATCAAAAGGTGAAAAGTCTACGTCGACCATACCTAAACAATTGTATAAAGACAAAAAAAGCGCAAAAGAACATCAAGTGTAACAGATATTCCATCCTACAATATTGGAACAATCAGAGATATAGTTCATAGATTTCACAAAACAGAAGGTATGCGCGTAAGAGTCAAAACACTTAGTGAAAAATTAAAAAAGGAAATTGCGTGGAAAGGGAGCTACACATAATTAAGAACTATTTTAAAAAAAATTGGGTTAATCAAACAGCATAAAAATAGATTCAAGCAATACAAATTTGATAGATTATTCTCCGAACACGGTCATGCAGTTTTGAGATTACCACCATACCACCCAGACTTAAATCCAATAGAAATTATCTGGGCTGTAGTAAAAAATAAGGTAGCTATAAAGAATATTCATTTTAAATTAGCACATGTACAAATGTTAGCTGAAATTGAATTTAAATCAGTAACCCAAGAAGACTGGAAAAAAAGATGTGCACATGTAATGGCTGTCGAAGATAACTATTTAGATCGCGAAATTATAATGGATCACGTTGTAATTCCTACAGTTATTATTAATGTTAATGAAGACAGCAGTGATATAGTGATGATTTTGATGACGATTTTTTAGAACTATGTTTATTTTGTTTGATAGTAGTTATAGCAACAAGGAATAGTAGTATAAATTCAGTATTTGTTGACCTATAACATATTTTTAAAAATCCTCGTTGTCTTATTTTAATATTTGTTAAAATATTAAAGATATCAAGTGCAAAATCACCATTTAACAGAATACATTTTAGCTCATAGGTAACAAATAAATTTTAACAAATTCTGTAGAATAGTACTTAAAAACTTATTTACATAATTGCGTTTGATCCATTGTGTAGGTAATCTGGTATTTCTTATAATACCATCAAATGATAGCCATTCTTAGAAACGAGGGCGGACTCGATTTGACCGTTATTAAGGAATAAAATTTTAGGTAATTTTCTTAAAATTTTGTGATTAATCTGACCGTGATCGTTTTAAAAATCCTAGAAAATTTATTTTAAGCGAAACTAGTATACGCTACTGAGCTTTAATAGTAGCCAGTAAGATCATTTGAAGGTGTGTCAGCAGTGCGCAAACTTTACCCCACTACTGAAAAATTAGGATGCGATGCCTGTACATACTTTTAATTTGAATCATAAAAAGAAATATTATTGTGATTGGTTTAATTTAAACATTTTGGGTTAGGGTATACCCTCCAAACGGTATTCGGGACACATTTTGTTTATACCCTGAAATAATATGAAATTTTAGCATGTCTGGAGTGAGATGTAGTGTTGCTATTTGCAGACATAATTGTTACAAAGAAAAATCATCAGAGGTATGGGACTGAACCTAAACACTTTTTCATTCCGTGATGTACCGGGATGAGACCGCCGTTTCAGTCTACGAACCGTGCTTTTTACCACCATTACATATTTCTGTACTCCATAAGTTCACACTTATTTAAGAACGCTATTGCTTACATCAATGGCGGACGTCCGAAAAGTGTTACGGGGATTTTGAACCATAATGCACTGTTCAAAAGAGACTTTATTTAAATAAAAATAAGTTCTTAATGAGTTCAATTTTATTATAAATGATCAATAGCTTAACTAACATAAAGTGCCCGTCCCCAGTGAAAGAATTGTATTTTTATGGAAAAGCAAACAATGCTCTTTACAGCGTAATCGACTAATCTAAGCTGTTCTTCTAACAATTATTATACTTCATAGTATATTACTATATTATAAATCCAATGAAACAGAACCTTACTTTTCCTACTAGCAAAAACAAAATATATATATAAAATATAATACAAACCTAATTTACTGAAAAAAACATCGTAATAATGTACAAGTCAAACGAAAAAAATCTTGAATCGTTCTGTAACAATCTAACCAATAACTTGAACAACAAAGCATTTTGGTTTATTGATAGTAAAATACAAGCAATACATGAAAAAACTCCCAAAATATTTAATTGGTCAACTTAATACACAACGATTCTTTTTCTAAACGACACTTATTTACTAATCTAGAAAAAGTAAGGCTTATTTTTAACAAGATGAAGATGGAGTTCTTTTTTTTTCTAAGTACACTCATGATGAACATATCTGACATTTTTTTATGTTAATGGATATACTACATTCACATTTCACAGGAAAATCGAGTATTTTTAAAGCCTGAGCAAGATTGACTCTATTAGAAACGATTCTGACAGAATTTACCAAAACATATTCTTAGCAAAATGCCGTCAATTTGATGTGCGTATGTCAACTTCAACATAAAGTCTGTCAAAATATTGCATTTTTTTCAGACTATATTGCAGCTGTTTCACGTCAAAGTAACGTTTTTCCCAAAAAGAAACGAAAACAAGATTTAATCGTTGAAAGCCTAAATTTAATGATAGTTGTAAGTTTTTGAGAATGATAAACTCTGTTACCGTTTCACTTAAATAAACAAACGTTATAAAATAAAGAAAATGATCTTCATTTTATATTCTAAATCTGATAAAGGAAGGATCTTACTTGAAAATGAGGAAATATAAGATTCCATAAATTACTTACTTTTTAAATTATTGCATCTTCTACTATTTATAATATACACAATGCGATACATTTTACAGACAGTTATTGTTCAATGTTTGACTAATTTTGCCAAAATATGAATGCATAAACTGTCTCAAGATTGGAAAATAAATTCTCCGTAAATTTCATAGTTTTTTTTTAATAAGCTCTATATTAATCTGTTTTTACATAATTTTATTTCTAAAAAAAATCACAATTTCGAAGCTTTCGGAGAAAGTATTTTCCGATGCATCACAGTATTTCACATAAACTGGTTTATTTTTTAGTATGTACAGGATAACAGTTTATATTTTATGAGACCTCTTAAGGAAAATGGCATACATTTTATTTCATCATATACAATTATTATTTAATCAGTTCTAAGTATTTGTTAAACGGTTCTTGAGTTGCGAAGTTAGACCCTCTTTAGTATTTGTCCAATTGATTAGTCTAAAAAGAGTGAGTTCGTAGTGCGAAATTAGAGTAAATCTATTTTGCTGCAAATAATGTCTCTATAACAAAGATTGTATTAATAAAACTAAACTATATAGGGACATCCTAATATGCATTTTATGGCTCCTATACACTATAGCCATCATGGGTTCACCATCGTGTGGAAAACCTATTTGTCGGTGATCGCCATGGTTGGCAATGATGAATGAGTTGTTGTTTTTCACACACAGATCAAAGGTAGTTGCTTTTGTGTGTCCACACGATCGCCGATTTATCAGTTTGTATTTGAATGTAGTAGGTACTAAGGAGCGATTCTTGAAAAATTTACAATGGTGGCGTGGACTAACGATCAAACGTTTGAATTTATAGAACTATATCAGGACGAGCTAATGATTCGGATCTCTAAATTTAAAAATCACAAAGATAAAAGTAGGGCAAGTATATATTTAAAATAAATGTGCATGGATTTCATACTGGAATGTTCAGAGTATCAGAGCAACCTGTCCTAATAAGTATGTCTATTTTATTTGCACACCCTCGGTCGCCATGTTGGAAGAGGAGTTCTTAGGCGTCACTTACGATTGATTGTTACAGATGTTTAATGAATATAAAATTATAGTTTTTATTCTGATTTAGAGTTTATGAGAAGAGTACCTTATATTTATATAAATGTATATAATAATCATGTAATACTTACTGAATTTGGGGATTCCTGTAGTCTAAAGCGTATCAGAGATAACTAGTAAGAAAGAACTTCTACAAAGGAAAGACACTTGTGAAAAATTAAGAAATAATCCAAACATCATTAGAAAGGCAATAAGGAGCATTACAAAATGGGTGTGATTTAAAACAATTTTTGTAACTTTTTGTCTATTATACACTTAGTTGGAATCTAAAAAATGTATGAATGTTCCTGAAGTATTTTTTAATTGTTATAAAAATAATTAGAAAGTTCTAAAACCGGACTTGTACTTATACTTTTAAGAGAGGGTAATGAGATACAGAAAGTACTTACTACTAGAGATATTTTACAAGTACAGTATATTATTTTCTTAATTAATTAACAATGATGAACTTTTTGAAATTCTTTTAAAATAACAACTGGATTTTAAAAATTCTGATATACAGGATGTTGTTTTCATGACACAACTTATAAGTTTTTGTTAATCCGGACCTGGATTTCTTTTCGACAGTGGCTGGAGCCGTGTAAGGAAAACAATGTATAAACCAATTTTCAAAAATATATATACATATAGGATGGTTTGTTAGTTATAAACTTCGAAAGAAATGAGCAAAATAAATCAAAACAACCTGTATCTCTTTTATTAATGACGAAAACCATTATCCAAAGGTAATTTAGAACCAACTTTAAAACCTATCCACAGTTAGGGGTGTGCAAAATAATCGATTAATTCTATCGAAAATAATCGATAATCGCTTAATCCATTGTTTTTGATTATTCGATTAATTTTAGAGATCGATTATTTTCCATTAAACAGTTATTTTCAAGCAATAGAAAATCGATTATTTTTAATTAATCGTAAAACTGATAATTTCCGAATAACCGGATTATCGATTATTAGATTGATCAATAAATTGATATCTAGATTAAACGAAAACAACTGATTAATCGATTAATTAAATGATCGAAAATAATTGAATAAAAAATAATCGATTATTTATTTTGATAATCACACAGCCATATCCACAGTTACCGTTTGAACGTTTACCAATTAAACATTATGTATAGATTTGTAACCATCCAAATATACGCTTCATTTTTGAACTAGGAAAAGCGGATTGAAAAGACCCATTTACACAGGGAAAATATACTAAAAAGTTACTAGATATAATTTTAGTGATAAATTTGAATATGACTTTGTATCATTTGAAGCACAGCATTATTTTAAAACTTTGTTATGAATGCATTTAAGCTTTATATAACCAATGAATAAAGATGACATTACTAAATTGGGCTTCTTTTTTATTAATTGTAGATAATTTTAGTTTTTCGCTACTTCGACTTGTGCCTCAGTATAAAGAGTGAATCTTAAGTTAATATTTTTTTAACTGTGTATAGAAGTCATTAAAATAAACATCTTTTCAAATAACTTTAAAAAAACTTCTTTATCTTCTATTTTAGGTTTTCATTGGTCACTGTAATTTACTTGGGTTTGATTCATCGGTGTTGTATAGAACGTGGAGTGAACAGTTTAGCTTGTGTTTGAACACTTCGGTGAATGGTGAAAACTTTGAATACATTATTTACAGGACCGTATTGAGTACATTGTAATGTACGTTTCTTATTTTTGTTTTTTTTTTTAAAGTTATTCGAAAAAATTGTTTATTTTAATGACATATACAGTTTAAAAAATTATCAACTTAGGATTCGCCCTGTATATCGAAACTCGCGCAGTATGCTAAATGTCAACCAAACAACATGTAATTTATGCTTACAATTCGGTTTACATAGAGTTTATTATGGTTTTAGATCGATATTTTTTATTTTTTTATTGTTTTATAAAAAACTGTGTTAAGGAAATTTTAAGTAGTCATCAGCTATTATAATAACAGAAAGTAAGTAAGTAAGAAAGTAAATATAGTAGGTATTTGAATTTGCTGAAACCATTAGATTAGAAATAAAACAAAAACAAAAATAGACTTACAGTATTTTTTGCACTATTAAACTACTACTGATTGGATTATATTATAAAATCCAATGATCCTTAATTATTGATAGTCGTCAAGACGGATTTTAACAATCGACACAAGTGCAATACAGTTAAAATTATAACAAAATAGTTTAATATCTCACAAAACACATTACAGATATCAAGAAATTTTATTTCAAAAATTTAGATAATATAATGTGTAAAGTATCAAAAAAGTATGTTGGTCTGACGGGAAATAATTAACTAAACTTTCCGATACCGGAAATTGGTCAATTTTTATTGGACTATACCATAAAGAGGGCGATACTAGTACAACTACAGGGTAATTATAAAATATACTTAGAACGCTTTACTGAATATAGTGTTTATAAAGTGATGGAGATAAGAAACGTAGGTCAAATATTTCTGAAAAACGGAATTTAAGTAAATGTTAGGCATTGTTAGGTAAAAATTGGCATATATTATTTAAAAAAGAAACATACAGTCATTTGCGTAGAAAATGTTGCTACACTTCTAAAATGCGCGTCAATATGTTTCTAACACATAAAAAGTGTATTTTAAAATCGACTTATTATAAAACGTAATGTTTTATTTAAACTTCAAACTCAAATACCATATTTATTATCTCATTTTCTGTAATTTTATAATAATTACCTTCAGTAGAGTATTGTAAGCATATTTCATAATAACATTGTATACCGAGTTTTTTTTAATGACATTTAACATTTTTATCCTTATCAACTTAGTTTAAAAACCCCAGCACTGATTTCTGCCAATCGAAATATGTCAACCTGATAAATGCAAATGCAGTAAAATTTGTTAAAAATATTACATCTCTATAATTTAAAACATTCAGTCTTGCACGCAACTTTCATACAATATATACAAATTCAATTTGAAAAAACGTTTTTCAAGTGCTCGCGCACCGCTAAAATGTCCATTAATTTGTGACTCAGGGATTCGCACTATTTTATATATGTATATATAAAAATAAATCACATAAAAAATTATAAACACGGCGACTAGATCGAAGTCGGATGGTTATAAGATTGAATATGATCGACAGGACACATCAAATATCTCGATATTGTGAGTTAATAACTTTTTTTTATAAATTCAAAATTAATTTAACAATTTTTAACTGTCATTACTGGAAACATGATAATTTTTAATTAAACGTCATTAACCCTAACATCCGTCACCTGCCACTTGTCATAATTTTGACTTATATAACATTGCCTAGATTTCAGTTAATTACGAGTGGTTTCATAGCTAGTTCAGTCAACGAATGGCCCAAAAGGAGTTGTAAAGTGTCTGAGCGGGAACTCAAGCGATTTCTTTAGAAACTTGTTCAGGGTGCTTACGGAGTGAACATACTAAAAGTCCTGACGTCTAGGAGGTGAGCGGGAGGAGCGACAAAGAAGCTTCCACTTTTGGGTTTTTAGCTTACATCACGAAAACGATGCGTCATAGGGAAAATGTTCTGATACCAACTGAAAGTTCATGAAATTCTCTACAACCTTTATATTAATTTTCGAAAAAAGAATTATACCTCACACTTTTTAATAAACAGTCCTTGATATCGACTTAACTATTCGTCTGAGAAAGAAATTTCCTTAGAGACCCTGTACTATATTTCTGAAGGAAATTTAATTTCTTCTTACCTATCTACTTATAAAATTTCTTTAAATCATTATAAAAACTTAAAAATATTTAATGTAATTTGATTACACATAGTTGGATAAAGAAGAAAATGGAGGTAGCAAAAATGAGATAAAAGTACAGGTCGGTATTAAAAAAGAAATGTTGAGGAAGGCGCTTTAAGGACGAAATGTCGTTTTGAAAATTTAGCTTCGCCAGGTTAAGCGGTTTTTGATCTTCAACAAAAATGTAAGCAGTGTTAATTAAGTAAAATGACTATAGCCCATTTCGGTATTGCCCAAATATCTATGAAACTGGACCTGATATTTAAAATTTGAAAGAACCGAGAAATTGGTCTTGAAAATGCACACCTTTTCAACAAACATTCTATTAAGGTTAACAAAATAATCCTCATAGTGTTTAAATAAATTTTTCTCCACACTTTTTTAATAATCTGTTAATTATCGAGAACTGTCGATTTTTTTTTTTTTCGTCAAAACTATTTTTTAAAAACAGAAAAGACAAAACAGCTTGATATTGTAAAAATGTACAATTATTAATCAATTAGATTTAACTTACAGTGAGTCAGAAGTACGCAATAAATTCGATAGGAAAAATATTGATTTTTGAAAAAAATCAAAAGATAGGTTTATCTTTAAATTCTGCATTTTTTGAGATGAATTTTCCCGTCTTTATAATTATTTTTCTCTAAAATTTCCCTATGTAAGACCACAAACTTATTATCATGTTGGCAATTGGATGGAATGTCAGAATATGCAATAAAAATTACTCATTACTACATTTACTCACATCACCCAGTATATCCGATTATTACGTCAAAAAGTCTAAAATTTAAAAACAAAATTGTCCAATTTTTAGAATTTTTCCAAAAATAAATACAGTTCCTTTTCTCAATTTTTTACTTTTGACACACATCACATGGAAATTTTAAATCGTTCATATTCTAATGTTACTATTTACAACGGGAATGCAATTCCTTTAAACGAATTTCTTTCTCAAATGAATAGTTTAGACGATATGAAGGAATGTTTGATGAAAAATGTAAAGCAAGACTCATTTTTTCGAATATTTTCACTTTTCCGGAACGTGCAACTTAAAAACTGTTGTGATTTCGAAAAAAGATAATAGAATGAAGGTTGTATAAGAAAATGTTTCCCTACGACGCATCGTTTCCGAGATATAAGCGAAAATTCCAAAAGTTGGACCTTCTCTGTGCTCCACTCTTTGTGACTCATCTCACAGACGTCAGGAATTTTACTATGTTTACTCCCTAAGCACTTCAGAACAAGGTCCCTCCTCACGCACTCTACACCTCCTTTATTGAGTGGAATAAGCAGAAACATTGAAAATTATAAAAAAAAAAATGTAGAAACAAACCTCGAAAAACATCATAAAAATATTAATCAGATCGTTTATGTGATGTTTTTATACCATTTAAAATCTTGGATGTAATTTAAAATACCCAGTACACTAATTGAAAATCCGTTTATTATTCATAATTTAGTAATAAGTTCACATTAATTTTTGTTCTAAACAGTAATTTTTTACAATAAAAAGCACAAAATCGATTTTGCATTACAAAAATGGAAGCTCTATCCTGAATCACAAACTTTCAAAAATTCTTTAACGTCCAGCATAAAAAATTATTGAACTACAATTTCGAGACACTTGATTTAAAAAAAAATGAATATAAGGATTTTTGGCCATCTCTAAAAATCACAAAAGATGCTTAAATCCGACGCAACACAAATGGTGCACACTATAGTCTGCGTATTCAATAAAACTCGACAAAAAAAATTGGATAGAATCAAAAATTAAGTAAAGGCAAAATCCAAAGAAACTAAATACAATAAATATTTATGAATCGATATAAAATAATACAAGGGTATTTTATTTATTCTTTTTAAATCCGTTTTTAAAACGTAACACTATTCAAGTACCACTAATGTCAATCCACGATCTTTGAGTCTTTGAAAAAGCTGTTCTATTGGAGAAAAAAATTAAACAAAAAAGAGTTAAGGACGAGAGATCTACGAAAGTATGTAGGATGTACCAGCAATATATAGGCCTTTGAATTAAATACGGAAAAAGCACTGTATTTTTAAATTTAATTTCAGTAGATGGAAAATGGCAGTGCATAATGAGCAGGCCATTAACCCTGAATACCCGGAAAGGAAATTATCCATTCCAACTCCATAAAAGTGCAAAATAAGCAGCACATTTATGCACTATAATTTTTATCCTTCTATTAACTTCGTCTAGAAATGAAAAACGGTTACAACAAAATTTGACGGATTAAAATATGTCACAGCTGTCAACGGTTTAGAACCGAATATGCCTTATTTCATAAAACTTTCAGTTCTTAACTTAACAATCATTTTCATACTATCATTTTATAAATTATTTTCATGTATTCCATTGTTTTAATTACTTTGACATTTTATTAAAGTGCAGGAGGCATGATAATGAGAACAAAAATAAAAAAAAAACAATAGATCAGTCTCTTTTTGAATCTCATTAAAACATTATTTGTCCATTGAGCACATTCTCTCGTTTTTTATTTGATTCTCAGCCACTTCTTGTTTTAAAAGTGCTTATAAATAACTATTGTAGACAAAATCTAACTGGCTTTCTAAAATTTGTGATTTGCTAATAGCAGGACCCTTGATGGCATGTTGAGTATTTTCTCGAGAAGTCTCATTAAGTTGAGTAAGGTTACGAGAGCCAAAATTCGACGCACAAGATTTTCTGATGATTTTTTAAAAATAACGACTTCGTATTTCGTATTATTGACAGTGATAGTCTTTGCCTTCGATCATGTATTAATTCGAAATTTGAGTTCAAACCAATTCCAAAATTATTAATTTATTTAGAAGTCGATTTTGTTCATAACTTAACAATGAAGGCCAAAAACAATATTTACTAAAAAGAAAAATAATTTTAAAGCTACACAAACGTTTTTAATTTTCTGCCTATCCATCTTGTTTGGATTTGCCAGAGAGTACTGCCTACATATTGTTGGTAAATCCCGCAAATTTGTTTTTTTTTGTATAGAATTTCGTACGATCTTAAATCAATTCCACATATCACAAATAAACTGAGTCTGGATTAATCTTATCAACTAAATCTGTAGAGATATTCGAAAAATACAGTGAGACTGAAGCCAAATATTGGTGTTTAAACTTTCATAATTTTCTTGTAGGTATATATATATATTTTTTGTAAACCGAAACTCTAAACAGATAGTCAACTGGTACACATTTTTCCGAAACACTAAAGATTTTTTTATTTTTGAGATGGAAGTCGCTACAAACACATAATTCTGCTTAACACTTTTTCTACGTTGGCTCGCTGGCTATTTGCGGCTCTTTGACAAGCAGTCACAGCTTCAGTTCGTTTGCTATCTTGCTAGCAATATTTTTAAATCCAATACTGGTACCTGCAACAGAAAAATCAAATTAAAATATACTTGGTAACCGGCGAAAACCTCTGTTGTTCCACTCACAAGAAAAAACCTACAATGAACGAGGGGAGTTTAATATGCGGATACAACATCTAAAAAACGACAAAAAAAGTTAAATATATTGGATTCACCATTAATGACAAGCTTAGTTTCTGCAGCCATATAGAAAAAAAGAGCTGAAAAAGCTGTAAGGGCGCCACGGATCTGCAGACAGATGATAGGAAACGCATAGGGCTTACACCAAGCATGATGCATTGGTTAACGCTGTAGAACAGCTAGCAGAAAATTAGGTAAGGTGCAAAGTTTGTCCAGTCTAATAGTAACAGAATGACGCCCACTGCAGCTACTGCTAAGTCTTCATCTATTACACCTTATGCTGGTAGAATGGGATATGGTGGCGACATACACAGGTTGTTTACAAATTGATTTGGATGGGAACTTTCAAGAAGGAAGGTGTCTCCTTCATGAAAGTTGGTGTATACAATAATATTAGGTGTTAATGATGCCATCAGATAGATGATTTTATGAAACCTTTCCATATTAAAATACCAGAAAAGTCGAGAAGATAGGAAAATACAAAATGAATCAATCTGCTATACCGACGGTTCGAAGATGGAAACAACACAGGAGCTGGGATTTACCATGGGAACTCAAGGAAGACCATTAGTCTAAGCCTGAAGACATTAATAACAGTCTTCCAGGCAGAAGTAACATCAATAGGTTTTTTCGCGGTAACAATCCTAAACTGATTCAGAATTACTAATTCATACTTTGAGCGCATGTCTGATTCATTATCATTTCTAAATTTTTACAGCGCGCGCAATCCCTATTATATCTCGGTGTTCCAGGTATAACACAAGCGGTTCGAAATCAATAATAATTTTACCGTGAACGCAGGATAGAACCAATAATTCAGTTCTTTTTGTTCCCCGAACGCTTTTTAACTACTGCGCCTGCGAAATCATTACTATTAGTAATAATTCGGTTCAGAATTCTCACCGCGAACGAAGCTAATAAATGCATACTCCCAGAACATACTGTAATAATAATAATAATAATAATAATAATAATACTCTCCCTAATTCACCCCCTTACGAGTGAATTTTAACCCCAAAAGCTGAGCTTGTCCGGGGAAAGGGACGGCTATTATTATTATTTGCCGTGGCGCTCCGGGGCGACTTAAAGATGATTGATGGTGCCATTTGACTTACAGGTGAGGAAAACCCGGAAAACCTCACCCACCATCATCGAGACGGTAATGTATGGCGAATTTTTTTAATCTGCATGTCATATCAACAGAAATTGAATTTCTATTAATACGCCACACATCAAATCCTAAACCGAACCATGCAATTTAATTAAAAATCCACATGGTCTGGTCTGGGATTCGAAACCCAGCAGTCTCAGACTCATAAACTTGCCTATAAATGAATATAAGCGCGATAGACCGCTACACCACCGTGCCCGGCTCTCTTAAAGATAAGAGAGGCTTTTATTATGACAAGACAACCAGGCAACCAAGCACTGAAAAGGGCAGAAGTACAATTCAAAGCAATATTGAACCGTCAACACTACCTCCATGCCCTGGCAGAACATAATGTCACTTTGAATGGGTGCTGAATGGGTGTTCAAAAACGAGAAAGCAGACGTCCTAGCCAAAAAGGGAGTGAGAAAACTAACTGGACCAGAACCCAAGATTGGAGCTTCTTAGACCCCATGCCAGAATATTCACAGAGGGTTCATCCAAGAGCAGAAAATTCAACTGCTAAAGAGCAAAAAACCTCATTACCGTAATAGGACTCTTTGCGGAACACTTCAGTGTTAGAAGATACTTAAATCTTTCCTATGTGAATATGCTTTGCCAAAACCTTGACCCTTTCACTCCTGTAGAGACATATATGTTCCAGTTAATGTTCAAAAATTGCTAACAGTGAAAAATGCATACAGCTGGGACATTTTAGTGATTTATAGACAGACATTGATATTTGAACTTGTAGCTTCATTCAGTTTGTAATTATTTTTAATTTATTATTGACTATAAGTTCTTAAATAGCCTGCGAATTGACAAGTTTAAGTTGCATTTATTGAATGTAACATAGTCAGTATTTAGAATACAAATGACGCAGTCTGTATTTATTAAGGCTGGTAACCGTGACCGGTTAACCGGTTCCGTGCTACCAAATAACCGTTAAAGAACGTAACCGGTTTAACCATAACCGGTTTAACCGTAACCGGTTTAAACGTAACCAGTTTAACCGTAACGGTTCATAACGGTATAACCGTATTTATGTGTACCAGCCACATCAACTCCCAGTAAACGGGTGTTTTCCAGTGCAAGAAACATAGTTTCGGCGAAAAGAAACTGCTTGTTGCCGGAAAACGTTGATAAGTTGATATTTTTGCATCAAAACTCAATAATAAAAAAATAGGCAGTTTTGTTATTAGGTATTTGTTATTATTTCTTGTTTTATGTCCCAATTAATTATAATTTATTTTTGAATGTTTTTTTTTTTACTTGAATATAGTTTGTTTTTGTTTTTTAGTTTTACCTACTTACCCACCCAGTGGGAAGTGAGTGACTGTGTCCTTTTTTAAATTTTAAATAAAGTTTAGCAAAAGTAAAATTATTATTTCTATTATTCTAATTTAATTTTTAATTATTTTAATTTTTATTTTAAAAAATCAAGCATGCACTGCCTGGTTGTCACGGGTAAGGAAAGGTGAAATAGTTCTATTAACAACAAAGGATTTGGTGGATGTGTTTTGCCACGATTAAGCCGGTGATGGTTACAGTTAAACCAGTAACGCATAAACCAGTGACGGGTTTAACTGGTCACGGTTACGGTTAAGACGCCGGATAACCTGACCGGTTGACAGGAAAATCGGCCCGGTTAACCGGATATCCGGACCGGTTATAATAATAGTAAAAATCCGGTTAAAACCAAAACCGGTCAAAATCAGTTGAACCGGTTAACCGTTTATCACGTCAGGAATTGACAGCCTTAGTATTTATGGCCTCCCAATAAGTTGGACAACATTCTAAATCATCCAAGAGTATGTTTAATGTTAGTGACCACTTAATGGTAGGCACACTTACGATAACGCCTATGTTACCGCGATTGCTCGCGTCTACCAGTTAGTAATTAATGTGCAACTAAGTACATTCCCAATTCCTTACATGAGCAGCGCAATCCGACAAACTGAAACAGTCCCTTATCGAAATGGTATATATTTAAACAATGCGGTAAAATAGCGGTGTGTGTATATATATAGAAAAAAATTAAAAAAAAATAATAATAATTAATTTACTTAACCTGTGACATTTAAATTTAACTGATTAGTCACGTATATGTTATGTATATTATGTTTTTTTTAATTTTCTCATTTTGTGTATGATTTTTGTGAAGAAACTCGCGATGGCTCCAGGCCGCACGGTTAGGCAAATTAGTTATTTTATTTTAATCAGTTTATGAATTAACTGCACATGATCGGACTGCCCATATGAGGGATTGGAATGTACTTAGCAGCACATCAATACTAACTGGTAGACGTACGTAATCCCGGACACATAATCCTTTCGCTGCGGACATCGTCGGGACGCCCATAGCTTCTATAGTAGGAGGCGAACGACGCCTTTCAACGTTCTTTACAGTATCTCTTATAGTACTTTAGTAAATTGTCAGCGTTTGAGCTACAGAAGCGGTTGGCTGTCTGCAGCGAATGAGATGTTATCGTAAATGTGCCCGGTAGAAGGTGAGAACAGAAGATGTTACAAATGTGCACAGAAAAAGCGTACCAAAATATCATGTAAAATGTGTAATTTATGTTTATGTATGGATTATTTCAGTTTGTTCAAAATTGTTGTTTTCTTGGTACAAAAAAAATTAATTCGTTGATTTTGTACACTTTATAATGTTTTCTTTCATTAAATCACCAAAAACCGGAGTGAAAAGGTTAAATGGGAACAGGAATGGCACAATATCCGAAATCCGAAGAAATCACAAAAGCACATATTCTTTCTTGAAGATGGAGTACAAACAGAGTGGTAAAATAAACTTAATTCGCTATATTATGTAATGTATGGTACTTACCAGAAATTCTCTTGAACCGCACACCATTCAAAGATAACCTGGGAAGCTTGCACACTTCAATCTCCCATTGCACCAAACTGTCCGTGTTAGGGTCTCCATGCACGCAGAGCAACAGGAACCTCTCGCGTTGTTCGTAATCGCAATTGTTGGCGTCCAACACTTTGCGGATTTCGGCCATTATTTCGGCCGGATCTCGACTCGAAGTCGTCTTCATCGACCAGGTGAACCTCAGCGACCGTGGCTTCACGTGGTCTTCGTTTGGGGCACCTTGTACTCTGTAAAGGAATAACTTCATAAAAAAACATTTTTTTTATTTCCTAAGATTTTATTATTGATTAGATAACATTATTTCTAGTTTTTTATCACCTGTTTACTTAATACAGTTTATACATTGTCAGAAGTATCACAAAATTTAAACCACTATGTAAAACGACAATTTTTGTGGTACATTTTTCGAAAACCTCTTAGCCTTAAGGTATATCTATTTTAATATTTGTGTTTTTTGTTAGGGCTCACGATTGGTGCATAAGTTAAAATACTGTAATTTCATTAGTAATATACTGTATACTTTTTTCTTAGTAAATAATAAGGATTTGAACATATTATAAAATAACTAGTTTTTAATTTTAAATAAAATTTTAATATTCTAGATGATTTTAAAGAATACAATCGATATAATGTAGTGTTTAATTAAAAAATAATAAAAACACCTGAAAAACAAATATTCAATAAAAGAAATGTAGTGTTAAGTAACGACCAGTAAATGCATAATTTGTGTTTATTACCATAATTATTAATAAAACGTAATTGAGGACTTTGTTGCAAGAAGGGACTCCATGTAAAGTAAAATTTTAGTTATTTTATGCACTCCATGTAAAACATTAAGCTTAATCGATAGGTGTAATAAACAGGTAAGCTGTGTAATAAACAGGTAGCTGCGTAATAACTGGAAAACATTTTAAACATTTTTTACTTTATAAGTTTTTTTTTAAAGATATATATCACTCTTTGATTAGAATGTCTTATTATTAAAACAAGTGGCAAATTTTATAAATTATTTTTTATTTCTCAAAAGTTAACGAAAATGAAGCCGATCCCTTCTTGCAGCTAGATCCTCAATTATTAAAAATGTTAATCTCATAACCACAAATTCAAAAAGGGGTTGCCTGAATAAACAATAACATATAAGAAAGTTTAATAAAAACTCACACTGCTAATGAAAATATTCACATAAATCTTAAGTAAGTGTTAAAGCAAATGAGTGTTATTGGTAAATAAAATGTGCGAGAAATCACAAGAAAAAGAACATGGAACATGGCCTCCTCACAAACCTGTAAAGGGGAAACGTTTCTTTCGCCTTTTATTTGAACACAAAAAATATATAGCACATTTAACCAAACATCAGCAACTTATGTTCTGTTTCTATAGTTTTATGGCACACAAATATTTTCTAAATGATTCATAGTTCGTAAATTGACGTGTAGAACATTAAAACTTTGGAAATTTGTAAAAGTGTCCATCAGGAATCAGGCATATTCTTAAATGTATCAAAATTATTAACTTGGTACTGTAAAAATAACAGGAGTACAATAAGTTCAGAACTTAGTCAGTGGATTGGAGGAAAATGCTAGATTGCAAGCGCTGGTTCGTAAATATTACACCTTATTTTTACAATTTATGTTACTCTGAAGTCTGACTCTTCTAGCAGATCCTTGAGGAAGGATTAGAGGAAATTTTTTGATATAAGAATTTGTAAATACAAAATTATTTATTAAAGGTAGTTTACTCGCGACAGTCGTACACAAAAATATTGCCTAATGGTGAATACCAAAAGTTCGAGATTCTTAATGCTAAAAAATGTTATTTTTGTAAGAGACTATACACATGTAAGCTTATATGCGGATACACTCCCATACAGTTATTATTTCAAGTAAAATCCATCCAGTAACGTCGCAAATATATGAATGGTGGGATATCAAGTGAGTGTGTATACCTATAGAAATTTGTAACTTCCTCATACTAATTTTTTAGTGTTCTAGTGCAATGTAAAACGCCGTCACTGAGATATTTCAATTAATAAAAAAATATTTTTATTTTCTTTGTTATTCTAATTTAAACTATTAATGAACATGCGTAATAATGTATTTGGATAATCTCTTAACCGTGCATTACGTTAATACTTTTGTTTCAAACAGAACCGTCGATTCTAATTCTCAAATACAGTGGACGAATTATTTTTTCAAGAACACGTCGCGAGGTTATAACAACCTCTTAGTTGATCGAGTGTAATTCAGTGATTCTAAACTAGTTTCCGAAAGTCCCAAAACAAGCCTAAAGTAATCTAACAGACATTTGAGTTACCGCGCATTAAGTGTACCTCACTACACGTCGAATGCTTTAAACATATTTTTATTTTAAAAATCTATATCTTTTTACCAAAACGGTCAAAAAATTCAGCGTTCTTTAGAAAATTTTATAACTTCTTGATTTAAATTACATTAGCTTTTAAAAAATATTGTAAGAACCGTTTTCGAGATATCTAGAAATAAATGCATTGCTTGTGCACATGACAGGCTTCAAGAGTGTTAATTATGCACATTTTGATTGTTAATATCTCGTTTCACAGATGGTCAGAAAATTTTATTTTTTTTTGTTACGTGAAAGACACTTTCATTAACCTTATATTTCAATTTTATTGAATTCTTAATAAAAGCCGTTTTACGAGTTTAATACCTTAAATATTAATTATTAATGTTGGAGATTTAATTGCTTGCATTGTGCACTGTGTTTTTTATATTTTGTTTTTCTGAACTCGTGCAGAGGCATATTCAGATCATATTTACGGTTAAAAATATGTATGTTTTTATATTGCTTTTAACATGGACATTGAATCATGTGCCCTAATTCAGATTGATAGATAAATAATATAGACGTGACTTGTTAAAATTTAACTGCATTTAAAAAAGTTACACTTAAAATGCTTGAGACCTATTATTAACTAATTACAATAAAAAAAGTAATTAAAGTATTACATTACTATCATATCTTATGTGTCCAAATAAAAATGATATAATTTAGCTTCAAATTAACAACAAAACCTTTATCTCTTTATAAACTTACCCCACTGTAGGTAAAGGTGAGTTGCCATGTTTAACTTGTTGGCCCGGTTCTAATGCTCTGAAAATAAAATTAAAAATGATAGAAGAAAATGATTATTAGTGGTGTAGGATGATGATGGGATGTTGTTTTAATTTATTTCTTAGCGCATTCTTATAGTTTCTGGATGTACATGCTTCGTTAGTGGTTTTAAAGTTTCTGTATGGAGACAAACTGGAGTATGAAGGGATATTATTAGTTTGAAATATAACTATGAATCATCAAACAAAGCATGAACCGTCCCCCTTCCGATAGTTGATTACGACAAAATTATTATTTTAATTAGATTAGTTTTTATTCTTTAACATTTGTACCTTTGTTTGACAAAGATATATTTTTCATGCCAGAGATGTTGAATTGTAAGAAGTTTGTAAGAGTATGTACTGTGTTGTATGAACGGAAATAATAACTTAAAATATTTCAAAAATTTTTAGGTTAATGATTTATATTATATTAAATATAACAAAGATTTTATTCACTTAAATATTTTAATCCCCAAGTTTTTAATATTAATTTCATAAGTTTTATTTTTGATATTTCGAATTACTGGACTTTTGGCTTTATATTCAAAATAACTTGAAATAATATACGAAGTCAAGCTATTTTTTATGTATAAGTGTGGATGTTAAGTCTTACTTCCCTCCCTGTATACACTTCGTTATTTAAAACAGATTTAAAAAACAAATCGGGGCTCTTTCATCTCCTCCACGTGACAGCTATCCTTAAATTATTTTAAATACCAAGAGGGGTCGTGTGGCACCTTGTTGGAAAGGGCTTGAAAAGTGGAAATAAAAAATGTATCACACTTAATAATCTGTCTGTGTTATTTTTATCAGGTTCACACTAGACTCTACAAAGGGTTAAAAGAAGCAACAAAAGACAGACAATACTTCTGCTATGAAGTAAATGGAGAACATTTTGGGTCCTTTTTGTAATAATTTCCAGTCATTATGGTTATAATTAGTAATTTTAGAATACGTTTATTTTAATTAAAATTACATGAGCCCTCTTTCTATTTAAACAAATTGAGGGGGTGGCTGTCACGCGGAGGGGATGAAAGGGGAGAAGGGAGATGTTTTAAATAACAGTGTCCAGAGAGGGGGGAGGGTAAGACTTAACATATCCACTGTATACGGTTTTGATTCCTCCATTTTGAGGATTCTTTCAAAATTAAGTTTTTACAACAATTTTAGTAGTCTGATTTTTTTTCTAAAAATTGTATCTATGCACGGTTCAGTGTCGATTAACCTAACTAATATATTGACAACTAAGATAGTACCTAAGGCAAAATAAATTGTAAATTAAACAAATAGATGTGGTGAATTTTTAAGTACTTTTTAGAAATGTAGTCAGTAGTGATATATGGAGTTGAAATTATGAACTTAATAAATTCAGAGCAAAAGTAGTAGATTTGAAAGAAATATAAAAACACATTTCAAAAAAGAAACTATGTAATTTACAAAAGAGGAAGATATTGTGAAAGACATAAAAGTATACGGCTTTGCTGGTACAGCTGAATATTAATATGAATGGGTTAAGGAAAATTACAATAAAACAAAAGAATTAGCAGAGTAAGAACATACATCTAGACTAGAGCTGTTTCTTGAGATAAGAAAAAATGTCTCAAATAAAAGTTGTTGTAGAGATCAATGAGAGCACCCTGTGTGTACGATAAATGTGTGATTTACCATAGTTATATTTTTTTAAAGGAAATACCCCATATATTTTCATTCGATTGAATTTCTTGGGAAGGGTGTTTCTCAAAAATATAGGTTGTATGGGTTTATACCAGGTGGTTCGAAATTTATGGTGGGGTTTATGTCACAAAATGGGTTCGATCAACACCAAACATCTCAAAATGAATAATTTGAAAGAAAATTTATCCACCAAATATTCTCGAAAATTGTGTATTTTCATCATTTATTATTTTACCGAATGGCTCTTTTCTCATGCAAGGGCAACAAAAGATTAGATTAGATTAGATTAGGAGTTGGACGTTATTTGTCCTTGTCCACCGCGACCTTTTCAGATCTATTGTGGGACTCCGTTTGTTTTAGAGTATGTCGTCTAGCCTGGTCTTTTTATTAGACTTAGTAGCTTTGACAGTGGCTCCCGTATGTAGTTGCATGCGTTTGGCTTTTCTTCGCTCAATGTTAGAAACCTCAGTCTAGCCAGGCCTTCACATTGGCACAGGACGTGGAATAATGTTTCCTCTTCTTCTTCACAGAACCTGCACAAAGTTGCTTCTTCTGCTGGATTGATGACACTCATGTGCTTTATGAGGCGACAGTGTCCAGTAAGGCCTACTGTTATCCTAATGATTTGACGCTTTTGATCCAGTAGGTCTTTCATCAACTTCGGCCAATGGTTCCTTGATGAACTGTTTAGCCTGTCTCAGTCTTGGATAGTTGTTTCACCATTCCTGAGACTCTTTATGCAACCATTGTTTAATGGATGCCTTGCACAATGCCTTAGCAACTCCACAGAAGGGTTCGGGGCATGTCATGGCCTCATCTGAGCCTTCTCGGGCTGGTTCGTCAACGTTTTCGTTGCCCTGATATCCCTCATGGCCTGACACCCAGGCTAGGACCACCTTGTTTTGACTACTTAGATCTGCCAGGTCTTCTAGACAGTCTTTCACCAGTCGTGATTTGATTTCTGGTGAGAGAATTGCCTTTAGAGCTTCTTGGCTATCAGAGTATATGGCAATAGTTTTGCCTAATACTTGCTGATTTAATATTTCTCTTGCACAGTGTTGTATGGCTATTAGCTCAGCCTGGAACACTGTTGCATATTTTCCTAAACTCAGCGAAATCGTTGTTGGGTCCATAGATTCCAGCACCGGCTCCTTCCTTGGTTTTTGAACCGTCTGTGTACCAGACGAGTTCAGCCTGTACGGGAGGTCCCTGTTTCCAGGATTCTCGGGCTGGTATTTGAATTTGAAAATTTCTTTCAAATTTGTATGTAGTTATGGCTCTATCAGTAGGCATAGCTAGAATATTATCCCTTTTTACTTGCTGATATAGCCTTGTGTGGTCGGCGCTATGTAGTTGGCTTATTGGGTTTTGTCCCTGCATTAGCCTGTGAATAGCTGACCTGATTTCTCCTTGTATGAAGATGTGCAGTGGCGTGAAATTTAATAATACCTCCATTGCTGCAGTCGGCGTAGGGCGCGTAGGGCAACAAAAACAGGATCACTTTTTTCGTGTTTTTTTTTTTTAATGGAATAAGGCCATACCAGAATAGTCCACACTATGAACTTGGAGAAAATGTAAGATTTGCCTAAGTGATTTCCATCGGAAATGTACAAAATTCTTAAGGAAAGTATGAAAAGTCATAAAAGCAATAACGATTTATTAATACAATGCTGGACAAAAAAGGTAACAAAATAAACTCAAAAAATATACCGACGAATTGAGAACCTCCTCCTTTTTTGAAGTCGGGTAACAATTTTAAAAAAGTGTAAATTCACATTAAAAGTTCAAACAATCTCCCATTTTTGCTATGCACAAATTAAGTCTATCTACAATTGCTCTTCGAACTTCAATTGAAGGGCTTATCGTAAAAACGTGAGAAGCCACACTTTTTCAAATAATGGCAATAAGTAATAATGTTATAAGCTACATCTAAATGGATACTCTCCTACAAATGCAATCGATAGCACAAAAAAAACAGGTTATTGCATTTTAACAAAGTTGTGGTAGTTTTAAAAATTTATTTGGATCTTTGAAACGTGGTTTCTCAATAAACCAATTTTGTGGATTGTTAGGTTATTAAGTCCGAAAGTTCATTTTGTAATAGAAAAATATTGTCAACAAACCTAACATTTAATTATAGTTGAAATATAACGATTTTTATTTTCAAAATGAAATTACTCTCCGAAAAAATGATAAACATGATCTATATTTTGAGAGGCAGACCTAGTTTATTAGCCAGTGGAATTGTTAGATTCAAGGTCTATACAACCAGAGAGTTTTCGGAGGGCTAAAGAAAGATTTGACGAAACATGCAGTGTCAAACACAAGAAAAAACAAGTAGTAAATAAAATTGCAACAACCGAACAAAATTAATTACCGGTTATGCTTTCAACAAATGAGAATTCTCATGTTGGTACTAGGTAATTTGCAAGAGAGCTGGATATAAGCCATACTTCCGTGAACAGGATATTGATCAAAATAAAATTAATTCATACCGAAATAAATTACATCAAGAACTCTATGAGAGGGCTTATGATATCAGAGTTCGCTATTGTGAAAATATATTTAATTTCATTCGCAAGAAACCAATTTTCTGAAATAAATTTTGTTTAGTGACGAGTCCACATTTAAAAGTAATAGACACAATAAAATTGCCTCTACTACTCGATAGAGAAACCCCATTGGATCAGAGAAGTTGATAGCCAAAATAGTTGGTCGATAAATGTTTGGGGGGCATAATTGGGGATCAGGTTATAGAACTATATTTGGATGGTCCACTAAATGGAGAAATTTAGTGAGTTTCTCAAATTTACTGAGGAATGTACCGATTGATACCAAACATAGGTTATATTACATAATGACCCACAATCAGGTAAGAAGGTTTTTAAACAAATGGCGCAGAAATAAAAGGATAGGAAGAAACTTCATGTCCCTAGATTTCTATCTCTGGGTCTACCGCGAGAAACCAAGAATAGAATTAGATAAAGATAAAGAGCAATTGTAGATATACTTCATTTGTGCATAACTAAAAATGGCAGATTATTTGAACATCTGCTGTGAATTTACGCTTCTTTTAATTGTTTGACTATATTTTATTACCTCTTTTGTACAGCATTGAATACATAAATCGTCATTGCTTTTATGACTTTTTCATACTTTCATTAAGAATTAGATACATTTCCAATGGAAATCAAGTAGACAAACCTTACATTTTCTGCAAGTTCATAGTGTGGACTATTCTGGTATGGCCTTATTTACAGGGTGTTCTATTTGAAAATACTGAGAAAAAGTTATCCCGTGTTTTGGTTGCCCCTGTTTGGGAAAAGTGCCATTCCGTAAAATTATGAGGATATTTTGTGGATACATATAGTTATTCAAAATTATTGATTTTGCGATATTTGGTGTTGAATCAACCCATTTTGTGACATAAATCGCACCCCAAAATTCCTAACTATAAACCCATACAACCCTATACTTTTGAAAAAAACATAACTGATAAGTCACACACTTATCGGACATCCTGTATATTTATGGAATATATGGTTATTTTTGGAATATAACTTTCATTGTTCTCTATAACTTTTATTCGATACACTTCTTCCTGTCTCAAATAGGGAAGCAACTTTCACCCACCCACGCATCATTGTGAACAATCGGTTTTAAAGTTCCGGAAACTTATCGGTTATAGATCCGAAAACAAAGGTATTAAATTACTTGGACGACCCCAAGCAAATTACAAAATTACCCCTACGAAATAATGAAAGGATTCAAAAATGAATTGAAAATAACAGAAAAGCATTGAAAAACAGAAGACTAACCTAAACTTAATAAGTATGCATAGAAACTAGACCAAACTCATGTTAAACATTAGTCAATATGCGTAGATACAATTTCAATTAGAAAATATTGTCGTGTCAGTATAATTCTTAGTACCAGTGGCGTAACCAGAAATGTTTCATGGGAGGGGTTTATGAGTACTATCGAGGGAGGAGGAGTTGCATCAACAAAGTTAAATATTTCAGAGAAGATTGTTTTTATTATTGAGACAGTAGAGCTGTCAAAAGAAAAAACAATGAAGACCATGAACATGCTATCAAATGATTAACAGCACTGCTATGGCCAATGAAAAAGCAATAAACGATTTTTCTAATTTTGACATATAAAGTGATGTTTTTTTTTTTGTAATCGCAGCAAGTGTCAAAACTAACTACTTTATGCAACAAGATGCAAAGTGTTGAACATTATGAAACTGGCCTTGCAAATAAATTATGTCACAATTGCAAACAGAAAACAAACAAAAATAAACCTTTTTTTGGTTTTAAAATCATATTAATATATAATTATTGAAAGTTTGTACTTTGTATCAAAGAAGGGAAGGTTGACTATATATAAATAGAATTTGGTCAGTGAACTTACAACCTAGTAACAATGTAGTTTTGGTATTTATTTTCCATCTAAATCATAAAATACAATAGACGACAAAACAACTCACTTTCTTGAAAACCAAATAACTTTAACAAGCAACAAGTCGTTGAAAATAAATGAATATGATTTTTTATTTGTCAGTAATCGAATGAAGTTATGCATATGCAACTAAGAATACAAGAAAGTAATATTGGTTGCTTAGATGTTAGTAATATTTTGGCAAAACACAATTTTATGAATAATCTAGTCAAAATTAGAAAAAATATTGTATGTAACACGTTACGAAATAATGTTTTATGTAACTCATTCATGTTGCGAGACCTCGCTTTACTTGTCCCGCAAATATGCACTCGTTACATAAAATAAGGCATTTCGTAACTGGTAGCACTAATCCGTTTTTTCTGGCCGCACCTTGTATATGCTTAAAATGTATATTATTTTTTAGTGGCCTCTACTAATTCGTATACTGAAAAGTCACAATTCTGAATATATTTGATTAAAATATATTTCTGAAAAAAATAATCACTCGTTCGGCCACTACATACATCTAAACTCGAGACGATAGCATGCATATTTCCTAAAAATAATCGTACCATTTTACAATAAGGATGGTATAAAAAGAAGAAAAAATGGGTACTCACAAAGCTCTGTTTGTCGGACCGGTTTGGTTAGATTCAAGATGACTTCTATCACTAAAAAAAGGAAACAAATATTACAAAAAATAAAATAAAAAATATATACCATTTTAAGTCTTCTTGAATCCACTATGTGCAAGAGTTAATTTCTATTATTCACTTTCAACCAAAAAAAAAAAAGAATAATCACTATAATACAGGGTATTAAAATTAACAGAGCATTGCGGGCGCTTAAAATATTTACAAAAATACACCTTATATTTATATGTATATAGCTAAAAGATCACATTATTTGTTACCATTTTTTTACATATACAAAAAAAAAATAACAAAAATTGTTTTATTCGTGTCATCTGAGAAGCAGAGTGAAGAGCACAGAATAGTAACCGTTTCGAGTTACTTATAGCCACATAGAACGAAAACTAGAAGAATCACAAATAAAGAACTCTAGTAGCAGTGCTGAAAATCCTAGAGGGATCAGAACTTTGTTTCAAAATCAATCTGAAACTATAAAATGGTCTTTTTTTAAGGTGAAGGGTGAGAAAAAGTCCTTTATATCTCACAAGGAAAGTCAATGTTTAATTGTTTAACCAAACATTGAGTGCGGCCGGTTTCGAAGTGTCATCACTTCATCTTCAGGCTCGCCATACTCACAGTGATGACACTTCGAAACCGGTCGCACTCAATGTTTTGTTAAACAATTAAACATTGACTTTCCTTGTGAGATATAAAGGACTTTTTCTCACCCTTCACCTTAAAATTACCTCAACTCACACATGGCTACCCCCCTTGTCAATATAAAATGGTCAGTTTAAAAGATATTTTAGCAGAAATGTTATTTTTCTCTTTTTGCTGTCAACTGCTTCATGTTAACTTCTTATACCATAAGTCATGGATCAAATAAAATGAAGCAACACGGGAGATCATTTGCTATCAAAAAACTATATATCGTGAGCTAACTGCAAAAAGTGCCCAAATCACATAAAATTTTACTTGATCACTTTTCGCTGTAAGCCACCTATATGTTATTTAATTGTTGACGGTTCAAAAGATATTTAAAATTTTCGAGAAACACATGACGTTGCTTGCAAAATTAATTCTTTTAAAAAACTGTTTAAAATAATTAAGTAAAACCTTGTTAAAATATACAAAAAGTTACATTTTTTAATTTTTATTTGGGTATTATTTTCCATTCAAAATTAAGTAGTATTTTTAGTAAAACATAAAGTGAAAATAAGTCACGAATGTTAAAGAATTTTATGAAGATACCTTTATTGAAAGAGTACAATATTTAAAAAAAAAAAAGATTAGCCAAATACAATTTTTTTTCCTGAACTTTCTGCAGTGGCATTAAGCAGTTTTAGGTAAAAATGGAAAATGTCAAATAACATTGAAACCATCAATAAAAAAATAACAATTGTTATTCTGATTGCTAATAACCTCTTTCATCGCCTATTTATGAGACACTGTGTATATAAAGCGAGTTAAAACAGTTCCTGTCTTTGTTTCGCATCCTCTAACTCACTCTATATTATTTTCTTCTTTTCATATATTTAGTAAACAGGAATTAGACAAAAAATTAGTCTGAAACGAAAATTTTTTAGTTCAGCTTAGAGACCAAGATAACAATAAAGGTTTTGACTTCTTTTGGCAAAATTTCAAAATACGCAGAAATAAGAATGATCGGAAGAAGGTATTATATACAGGGTGTTTCCGAACTTGGCGTCCAAATTTGTAGGGGTGGTAGTTCGCATAATTTGAGAGCGATTGGCAGATTTCATTTTTCTAAAAAAATTATAATAAACAAAATAGAGCCACTATAAAAAAAATCAAAAAGCGGGTCCTACCCTGAGCTCTTAGCGCAATAGTCCCCGGCCGGTATCGAAAGACGTAGCCGATTGTTTTTCTAGTGCGCATTGCTTTGTTGGGTTGTTTACCTCGCTGTGCAGGACCGTACCTGTTTAACATTTTTAATTAATTTTTAATTATTTTTATTTTAAATATTTTGGAAAAATGAAATCTGCGAATCGGTCTCAAATTATGCGAACTACCACCCCTACAAATTTGGACGCCAAGTTCGGAAACACCCTGTATACATATATACATTTTTCGGCGTTTTTCCCAGCTTTTTGTATTTACTCAAAAACGATGCGTTTTCATGAAAAATTTTACTGGACTTTTTTTGAAGAACTAACGATTTTCTGTTGATTATGTCCTTATACATTTTTTGCTAAAGCGCGCCAAAAAAATCATGTATATATTTTGCGGTTTTAGCATTTTACATTTAAACTATGCACTTTGGTGGAAAATTTCATTACAGCAAAGTTGTAGAGCGGAAAATTTCCTGTGAAACCTATGAAACAGATTTTCCAGAAACCCATTGTTTCCGCCCCTAGAAAGTTGCTGCTCAATTTTTCGTATTGTTAGTAAACAAAGAAAATGAATATGTTTAGTTAAATTCTACAATCCATATTGTTGCATCTAATTTTTTTTTAACAAAGTTTTGACAAAAATTAAATTATAATTTATTGCAAAAACGACTTTCATTTTCCACGCATGCAGTGTAGCGACGGAAACGGAAAAGCTGTTTTATAGATTCGATAGTAAATTTTTCCCTCTACAACTTTTCACTAATGAAATTTTCACCAAAGTGCTTAGATTTTATGTAAAATGGGAGAAACCGCAAAATATATACATTTGCCTATTTTTGGCACGCTCTAGCGGCAAAAATATGAAATTTGCAAAAAAAATGTATAGTAAATGTAGACATAATCGATAGAAAATCGTGTTCTTCAAAAAAAAAGTAAAATTTTTCATGAAAATACATCGTTTTTATGTAAAATATAAAACACTGGGAAAAATACCTTTTTCCGATCATTCTTACCTGTGGACATAGTGAAATTTTGCCAAAAAAAAAAGTCAAAACCTTTATTATTATCATCTGGGTCTCTGTGCTGCACTAAAAATTTCGCCTTAAAAATCTAATTCTGGTAAACTAATTTGGTAATTTTTTTCGAGAGATTTTTGTATTGTTCTGTATGAAGTAATTATCAACTTGTTTCTGCAATTTCTCAATATTTTTACTTAGTTTTTCAAACAACCTGCTTTTTCAAAATTTAATTTTTGTAATGTCTCTTTAGACACCTTTTTAACAACGCCAAAGTATTTTAAATTAAAATACAGGGTGATCTGATACCGCTAGCGATTAAGTTGGAAATAAACTATTTTAGATATTTTCTTCCTTTTTTTTTGTTTTATTGATTTTTTAATCGTTTTCTTATATTTTATTATTTTGTCTTAGTCTTCCAATCCTTCTTTATACACGGTTCATTTATTAAAAATAAAAATACAGAGTGGTCTGTCTACACCGCTATCTTTCAAAATATCCGATCAAGCGAAAATACCAGACTATTTCGGACAAGATTAAATCGGTGTCTGGATAATAAGACCACGACGAACAGTAAATGTTCATTGGTAACACCATAGTATTTTTCTAATATATATTTCTTTAATTCAAATTTTATTATTTTATTTATTCTAATATTTAATTTCAGTTGTTTTTGTTTTATTGCTGAGGTATAACTTTAATAGGTATATCCGCAGACTTGTATATTATTGTTGTGGCCAGCTGTTTTATTTCTTTTTATTTTGGGCAGACGTACAAAAGAAACATTAAAATGGTTTCTTCTAATTTTAATGCTTTTCATTCACGATGAGGCAATAAGAGTTGTTGAAAACCGAGATTACAATAAATGCAAGTGGTACAGTGCGACAGAACTAGCTGAAGCCGTAATGTCATATGCATAGCTATATAGGCTATACATCCGTTCTCTGCTTCAGGTCTAACGTTGGAGCATCCCTCAGCTTTTGTTATTCCTGCTGATCGAGAGGGTATGTAAGATCAATAAGTTTCCCCATAGAAAAACAGCATTTCCTTGGAGCTCTAAAGCTCTTATCTAAGGATTACTGTACTCAACAACCGCCAATTTTAATATAGAAATATAGAATATAGAAATGTATAGATAAGTAATTTAAGTAGCGATTCTTCATAACTATCAGAACATGCACAAAGCAGTGGGTTTTTAAAAAATCTCAGGAGTGGTAGAAAAACTCTCCAGGACAGAGACGGGCCAAAGAATTCTTAAAAGGACAATCGCCTAAACTCACCGAGCATCTACTAAGCCTTAATAGGAAAAATACTAGAGTACTAGTAGGTCTATTAACAGGGCATTGTAGTCTTAACAAACATATGTATATTATCGGTCTGACAGAAGAGACCTTGTGTCGATTCTGTCAGGAAGAGAAGGAAACGGCTGTACACGTATTGTGCTACTTCGAGAACTAGCAAGACTGAGATTCCTTACAGTTTGAGAAGAAAAACCAAGGGCAACTAGCTATACCGGAGAACTACTTCCCAGTCTATGGAGTCTACTAAAAAAGACCGAATTAGACAAGGTACTCTAAACAACGATTCAAGGATATCCACAATAGATCTGAAAAGGTCGATGTGGGGGAGGCCACATGGCCCACAGTCCTAATTAAAACTAATGGATTGTTCGATTGTTCATTAGGATGTTTTTAATATGGATTTCCTGTTAACATCATTATCCTTCATCTTGTAGCTCCAAATGAAGCAAATTCATATCACCTCGACTAAACATTCTTGGATAACCCTGTGATTGTTCTAAAAATGCCTATCCCTGTCTCTTAAGATCCAAGACTTTGCAAGCAGGCAGTAATAGTTTGATCTATTTTTATTCCAAAGGGAACACCTTCATATCATATTTTCAACTGTCATGCGTCATTCTCTTCCCTTCCGTCACTTTAACAATACAATTTAAATAGGAAAGTATAACGGTTGATATGATAGAAAGGTGTTCCCTTTGGAATAAAAATCGACCTGTGTTTTAAAAATATATATATTTCAAGGTATTGCCACTTTCTTAAAAATAAGAGTCTGATAGCGTGACCCTGGAATTTTCCGTCATCTCCATCTGAAGCTGCCCGGATCCTTTCGCAAGATGCATCGGATAGTTGTTGAACAAACCACGTTAATA